AGAGAACCCAGATCTGGCTAGTGGTCAGCTCAGGCCCTGGCATCTTGCCAAGGAATGCTGGGAGACCTGGAGGGGATTTAAAACTATTAATGACTCCAGCCAATGTGTTTTTTGCAGTAAAATTAGAATAGTGGTGTCTAGTCAATATCAACATTACATTTCAGAGTTTATTTTCTTTTGCAAAGCTTTTTGAAAGTCTACCAATCACACAATTGGTAAGCAATGTGATTCCTACAGGTCACCTGGGAATTATTATGCTTACATAAATTAACACAGAAGCAAAATAAATCATCTGTATAATGTTTCTAAACCACCACTTCATTTTGTCAATGTAGATTTGATGTAACTTATTGTAGCATTTATTAAAATGCCAATAATGGTCTACTGAATCCCATATTAAAATGTGTACCAACACTGCTTTTGATTGGCCTCAGTCTGGGAACTAGCGGTCTCAACAACGTTCTCAAGTCCCCATATAAAATGTTCCATGTGGCTGGAGATGCTATGCACTCCAGATTAAGGCCCATACCTAGAAACCAGTTGCTACCACATCAGCCTTGACTCAGTGCCCAGCTCTGACAACAGGATATATCTGACTCCCCAGCCCCAGTCTATTCTATGTGTTGTGTTTTTACAACTGAGCCCCATTTTTTTTTTTTTTTTTTTTTTTAGTTCTGGTAAATGTCCTAATAATCATGCCTTCTTTTTAATCAGTGCTGTGGCTTTTTAAAACAACAACAACAACAACATCTTAAACTGGGATGCCTGGGTGGCTCAGTAGGTTAAGCATCTAACTCTTGATTTTGGCTCAGGTCATGATCTCATGGTTCATGAGTTCGAGCCCCACATCAGGCTCTGTGCTGACAGCATGAAGCCTGCTTAGGATTCTGTCTCTCCCTCTGCCTCTCCCCCGCTCACTCATGTGCTCTTTCTCTCTCTCTCTCTCTCTCTCTCAAAACAAAATCAAAAAATTTTTTAAAAATAAAAATGTCTGAAACTTCATGGGTTTATGGATTCTGCCATTGTGTAAGTCTTGATGAAAGCTGGGTCCCTGATGGACAGCCAAGGAGAAAGAAGATAGGTTCTGTTTTAAAAATAGAAAAAAAGGAGCTAATAGGAACTCACATGTGATTTAAATTTGTCCCATTTGACTCTTCCTGCCAGGGCATTTGAAATAAATGTTCACAGAAGCATGGATGATTCAGAATTCATTTGGGCAGAAGTAGTGCCACATCCTTTATAGACTGATAGTAGCAGCAGTAACCCAGCTTCGTCATTCCCACCCAAAGGGCTCCAGGTTTAGCTTATTTCAGTTGATTGCAACCGAGAAACAAATCAGAACTTTCTTTGTTTTTGCAGCCTGGATCCCGAAACCCAGCTAGCAAGAAGCTGTTGACTGGGGAGACAGGTCAACTTCCAAGTGTCATTCAGCCAGGAGTCTTCCCACCTACAGAAACCAGCAACTAAAGGAACTATTCCACATTGGACTCCCATTGCCTCTCTACTTTATTCATGTTTAATGCAACTTGTGTCTGTTTGAACCCGTACACCTTGTGCCTGCCCTGGATTCATCCTTCTCCAGAAGCACTTGCCACTGGGTCAGCTCTTCCAGGACCGATCCTGTTAAAGTGAGTGAGACTTCGTCAGAACGGGGCTTCTCTTGGCCTGTTTCCTGGGGAACAGGATACATTGGCTTCAGAGAATTGACAGTGTGCAAGTGTTGCGATAAATGTGGGAGTGGGGTAAAATAGATCTTACAGGAAGCTCAAAGAAACTGAGCTACTCTAAGCCAGTCGCAGAGTGGTGTTGCTTCAAAATTATAGGGATTGACTTTCAAAATTGTTGAAGAGTAATTGATTTTTATTATGAATTTTATTGGAGAGGCGGCATAAAAATTTCTAAAAATTTGCAGAGTTCTTCCCATAGGAAAAATTCCTAATGTTCCCTTGAAGCCATTTTCTCACTGCAGCTGTTCCTATTCATTCCATCCCCCCACCCCATCCACCAGGCAAGGCTCCTTCCCCCTAGTTATACACTCCCATTCACCAACTCCTCTGAAGGTCTCAGGCAATATGCCCTCCAGGAACCTCTCCACCCAGTTCTTTCACACCTCCTTTCCCATAAATAATAGCCCCTGAGAGGTACAGTCCCTTTCTACTTGGTCTTATTTGGTTTTGCTAAGAGTAGCCAGTTAGGAATTCTGGTTCATCCTAGGAAAAAATACTTGTCGATCACCTATTGTATGCAGCTGTAGATTCATTACACATAGAAATTAGGTTGGGGTGGAAGGAGACCACTGTGGCTTACCTGGGATCAATATCTGTATGAGTTTTGTCCAGTAGAATTTACTGATAGTTCAAAGGATATCACTGTGAATCGAATACATTTCTTGAAAGAGCATTTAAAAAAAAAGTTATAAGAAGAATTTTTTTTTCATTTTGTTTTGTTTTGGGAGATTTAAATTTTTTTTTTTTTAATTTTTTTTTTCAACGTTTATTTATTTTTGGGACAGAGAGAGACAGAGCATGAACGGGGGGAGGGGCAGAGAGAGAGGGAGACACAGAATCGGAAACAGGCTCCAGGCTCTGAGCCATCAGCCCAGAGCCTGACGTGGGGCTCGAACTCACGGACCGCGAGATCGTGACCTGGCTGAAGTCGGACGCTTAACCGACTGCGCCACCCAGGCGCCCCTGGGAGATTTAAATTTTAAAAGAAACTTTATTGGAGTGAAATTATACATGACTCTTAGTCTATCCTATTTTTCATCATCCCTGAATTAAGGATTTTATAATATATGATTTCAACAACATCTAGAAATAAGAAAACAGTTCCTAAATCTGGGTTTGCTTAATTCTTTCTTTCTGAAAATCAATGGGAAATTCATATAGTTTACATCACCAAATAAAATTTAATAGGTTATATATGAGGACTGAGAAGCAGGGCCTTGTAGCATGTTCACTGTTGGGGAAATCATTTTAAATGGCTAGAGGAACTGAGGAGTTTCTGACCCTGGAAAATATCTAAAAGCTGCTGAAAGAAGAGAGATAAACATTGACTCTGACACAACTCTTTAGTGGCTAGGAATAAAAAAAAAAACAGTAACAAAAGGTTATTTTACCAACAAAATAGCCAATTTCCTAACTGATCAATATGTGTGTATAAAACACATGGGAGGGTCTGCCACCTCACGGTTACCTTAACAGCCTTAGTTCCTGCTCTCATAAGCACCCTTGTGAGCCATCTGTTAAAAGAACTCAGTTAACAGAAACTATAGAGGGGTCAACTCACTAATCTAGGTGGAACTGATGAGGGAGCATAAGTCAGGCTGAGGGCAAAGTACAAACTAGCACCCCCCTTCCCCCCCCCACCCCCAACCCCCCAGCCACCAGATGGGATATGTGTGATATTCCTCAGGCACTCCTGGCTGCCCAAGAACAGAGGAAAGGAAAGAAAACAAATGGTTAACTGATAAAGATCACAGTCATATAGGACATGGGTCTCCATCAGTTTACAAATATCTTAGTAAATTACAAGAAAAAGGCAATCTTATCAATAGCCTAATATCCAGAAACCTATAAACTAACTTTCCTGGAACCCCAACATCACCCTCTCCTCCATAGCGATGTGGGAACAAAGGCAAGAAGGAAATGGCAGGTAAAATTAAATTTCTTTATGACCTGCAGCCCATGGACAAATACTGAAGCAAATACAGTGTGTAACATTTCTCTAGGAACCCCCTACAGTCCTAATGTTACTGTCTTACTAGAAGAAAAACAACCTTAGCTTGACAATAGCAAGGCTCCTGGCATCTTAAGAGTTCTCTTTAGCATATCAAAGTCCTTCCAGAAACCTCAGTTTTGACTTTACCTCTCCCAGCTCCATAGTAAATAACCAGTCACTCTTTACAACCCCAATGCAGCTCTTTCTGCTCATGGATCCTATCCCCATGTTTTAATAAAATCACCTTTTTGCACCAAAGATGTCTTCAAGAATTCTTTCTTGTCTGTTGGCTCCAAACCCCACCCTCACCCCAAAATTTCATCAGAACTGGTCTGTGGGGCCTCCTGAGCACTTCACAGAGGAAGGAACGGGAATCACCAAGTGTATCAGGAAAACCCAGAAGGAGGCATATCTTATTCCATCTTTAAAGTACTCTTGGAGGGGCGCCTGGGTGGCTCAGTTGGTTAAGCATCCGACTTCGGCTCAGGTCATGATCTCGCGGTCCATGAGTTCAAGCCCCACGTCAGGCTCTGTGCTGACTGCTCAGAGCCTGGAGCCTGTTTCAGATTCTGTGTCTCCCTCTCTCTCTGACGCTTCCCTGCTCAAGCTCTGTCTCTCTCTGTCTCAAAAGTAAATAAACATTAAAAAAAATTTTTTTTTAAAAAGTACTCTTGGAGCAGTTAACACTGCCTTGTGGCTACTGGGATTGTCTGTTCTGGCTAAATCCTCAGGATCTGCCTATGATAAATATGAAGGAAAGCACCTGCATACTTTGCTCTAGGAATGCAGAATTGTGCAAGAGTCTAAAAGACAGGGAAAAAGAAGGTACGTGTCAAGGACTCAGTGGCTGATACAGGAAAAATGAATTGGGAAGAGGCTAAGAGAGAATCTCAAGAGAATCACACCATGTTAATCAGCCTATGATGAATAAAGGTCAGAATGGCACCATTATCTGTATAGTAAACATCACAGGGAATGTTATTAAAAGACTATATAACAGGAACTGCTTAGAACAAGAAAATAGATTCCAGGGGCTATTCATGGAGAGAAGGGTTGATATGGTGGTGAGCAAAGTAGTTTTTAAACTACCGAGTCAAGGACCACCAAGCATCCTCTGGCATGGAGTGAACAAGTGTATCTTGAAAATTATGCCCTGCTGAAGAATTCTTAGAAATAGGAAACATTCTAGCAAATAATCTGTGAATAACCAAGCATGCCTCCTGAGTAAATTGTTAACCTTACCATAAGCAAGCCTTCTCAAAGAATTATATCCATCTTACAGAGCCACAAGACTATTCCTGATCCTGGAGATAGAATGATACAGCCTAGAGAATGGATCTTCTCTCATTAGTAAGCGTCTCAAACTATATACATCTAACCTATAGCCAATTCCTTTCTCTTAAGTATGTTCTCTATTACAAGAAAGTTCTTTATGTATTTACTTATGGAATTGTACATTTATTTAAACAAAAATTCTCCAGATATCAAGATAGTCATATGAGGATCATAATCCAAACTATTGCATGACTTTGGCAATGTTATCTAACTTCTCTGGGGATCAATTTTCTTATCTATAAAATTTGAAAATACTGTGCTTGCCTTACAGGATTAATCAAGAACCACATAAAGAATTTTGAGTTTCAGTATCTAGGTATGAGCTCAATAAAATGTTAGGTATTGTTGCAAAATTTGTCAAGATTCTTATCACCACAATTATTTAACTAGAAAGACCAAATGCAACTATGTAAACATATGTTTCTTGTTGTATTTCATTATAAGACCTGAAGAATGTGGGGTTTGGGAAGTGATGACCATGGGCAAATATGCTTTGACATACTTGCCTTTAGTAGAAAATGTGATACATAGTTAGAGATGACAGTTGGTGATTTATGATCACCATTACCAACAAAATGATACTCAATTAGTCCAAGTAATGGAATTTTGGGCAAAAGGAAAAATAAAGAAGAAGGAAGTTGCAGAGAGGAAGGGATTAAGAGGAAGAAACAATAAAGGAGGAAGAAAGGAAGCAAGAAAGGAAAGAAGGAAGGAAGAGGTTATATTGTATTTCTGGTTACTGGAAGAATTCAAGAAAATACAACTGATGATACATATGTTAGAACCTAAAGAGAAGATTGACTTTTATCTAACATAATAGGATTGCCATTTGCTATGGTCTGAATGTGTCCACCCAAAATTCATGTTGAAATCCTAACTGCCAAAGGTAATGGTATTAGTTGGTGGGGCCTTTCGGAGGGAATTAGGTCATGAGGGTGGAACCCTCATGAATGGGATTAGAGCTCTTACAAAAGAGGTTCCACCTGTGCTCTCCAGGCCCTTCTGCCCTGTGAGGCTTTAACAAGAAGTCTGCAACCTGGAGGAGGGCCCTCACTTGACCATGCTTGTACCATGATCTCAGACTTACAGCCTCTAGAACTTAGACTAATACATTCATGTTGTTGATCAACTACTCAATCTGTGGTATTTTGTTACAGCAGCCTAAACAGACTAGGACACCACTTCTTTTAGATATATGGAGCTGAAAATACTATTAGTCTTTCCTTCATAGTTTGCTTTGTTGCTGATCACACAGGCTCTTCTGCTTTCCAAGTTTCCTCCCAGAGTTGGTGGGCTGGAAGCTGGTGAGGAAGAAGTAGGTGGAACTAAGGGCACTTCAAAGTAGTTATTTTAGGAGACAGCTGCAAGCCACAGAGTTTTATGGACTGGGTCCTCACCTCATGAAAATTCAAGAAAAAATTAAAGGAAAGATAAATGTGGAATTTGTGTTGGGGGGGGTAAGTGGAATCAAAGAAAATCAAAGTTTGTATCAATAGAGTAATAACAGACTAAGTGGGGAAAAATGCAGCTTGCATCTTGAGTACTCCACAGAACGTTGGCTTGTCTTGTTGAGGGAGGGGCAGTGAACAGACTGAGCTAAGCCAGAGAATCATCAATCCAGCCATCATTTGAAATGCATTTTATATTCTTAAAAAAAATTAGTTTTAGTTAAAGTGAGCATTTATAACAATTTCTATGGGGGAAAGACAAAACAAAAGTAAAACACAGAAATCCATCTGATCCCAACAGCTGCATCAACAAGAGAACAACATTTAAAACAAATTCTGCAAATGTTAAGAATTTTATTAAAACATTTACCCAGAAACCATGCATAATTTCCTAATGTTGCCCAGAAGTGATTGCCAGACAGATCTCAGAAACCAACAAGAGGAGAGTTTTTGTTTTGTGTGCTGAGCCAAATCAAGTAGTGTTTAGACAGTCATGTTCTAGAACATAGAGTTCAGTAAACACTAGATGAGCACCTAGCAGATGCTGAGCATTGTATGAGAAGAGAAGACAGATGATCTCACAATGAATCTATGAATGTGGCAAATAGCACAACAACCTATAGGGGCCTATGAAATCTGAGTGCCACTGCCTCAATTTCTAGGACATGAAAGAATCAAAAAGAGCTGAACTTTGTGTTTTAGCCACAACTGTATTTAAGCAGATGCAGACATTCCTATTATTCTCCCTATAGACTTAGGGCTGCTCAGCTGTGAATTTTAGAGAATCTCAGTGGAAAGAACCAATATGTTATCAAATAGAAAATACTCTTGATTGCAAGGTACAATATTCAGTGTTTCCCTAAAAACAAAGACAGAGCATGAGAAAAAGGAGGGGAGAGGGAGAGGCACATTTTCTGGGATTCTAATAGTTGATTTCTGCAAAATCCATCCTAAATCCTCATTGCAGAGGTAAATAAGAATTAAACCCAATGTTCAGAAAAGGACAGTTAGGGAAACTTGTATGTTTCAACATTGACACTGGGTAGAGGAAGGGAGAAAAATATCTCCCATGAAAATTTGAACTACAATCTTTTGCAGGTATGCAGTCTGAATTCACAATGCTCATGTGGTCCCAAAATCTTTAGTAGAGGATTTAATTTGAAGTGGTCTCAGCTTGATAGTGCCCCCAGGTGACTGGCAAAAACAAACACAAAATCTTCCACAGAAGGAGGAGAAATGAGAGTTCAATCCGGGACAGTAGAAGATGCATCAAATGGGAGGGGCATCCTGATTTCAGAGATATGCAAATGTGAATAAAGTGCATCCTTAATCTGAAGAAATCAGGCAGCTGGTGTGAAATTCTGCTTGGTCAAGCACACTGGTTTTCATACATGCTCAGTTATGCAAAGACCATGTGGAATTTTGTTTCTTTGTTTGGACTTGATTTGAGGCTATTTCTTTGTTCCTAGCTGCTGTTCAGATTTTGGGCATCCTGGAGCTTTGACCTAATACATCTCTATTTGCTTTGATTGCATCCTACTCTTTGCTTCTTTTCTCTGGTTTTATCGTACTTTCCTGAATTTCTACTTTTTCATTAATTCATTCATTCAAGAATATTTATTCAGATGATTCAGAACTTCATGAGACAGGAGGATTCTTGTCTTCATGGAGTTCAAAGACCTACCTAGGGATTTTCAGACTTTAGTAAATATTAAGTTCTTATGAAGACTATTAAGGAGGAAAGTGTTCGTGTCCCTCTTTGGGTGGCTCTGATTCAGAAAGTCAGGGACTTGTTCTTAGTAGCTGCATTTTTAACAAAGCTACAAATTAATCTGATGCACGCTAACGTTTGAGAACTCCAGACAGTGTGTGCACTCCCATCTCACCTCCAAAATCCCAGAGCTGACTGCTTTGTTTCTGCTCCTCACAGTCCTGGGCCTAAAACAATTAGAATTAAAACTTGTCCATGAGAATTCTTTAAGGCAGGTGTGACCCAAGCCAACAGAATCAAATTATTCTATAAAATTAGCTGGATTTGATCAACTTAATGGACTCAGCCATGCAATTCCTACTGTATTGTTTGCTCCCACAGCAGCTGAATTCCTGGAAAATGGCCCTGATCTTCCACTTTGAAGGACTCACCCCCAAAACACAGAGCAGAGCTTTCTGGAATTCCTATTGTGTGGTGAGTTCTCTATGGATGTTTTTTGAAATGAATGAGTTGGAGTCTCTAGAAGATTCTTCAGTCCCTTCTGAGTGATTAGGGAAAAGTTGTATTAGAAAATGAGTTTTCCGAGGGCATCTGGGTTGTTCAGTCAGTTGAGCATCTGACTCTTGATTTCAGGTCATGATTTCACAGTTTGTGGGATCGAGCCCCACTTGGGTTTTCTCTCTCCCCCTCCCTTGCGCTCTCTCTTGCATGCACTTTTTCTCACTCTCCATCTCTCAAAAATAAATAGGAAGGAAGGGAGGGAGGGAGGGAGGGAGGGAGGAAGGAAGGAAGGAAGGAAGGAAGGGAGGGAAGGAGGGAAAGAAAGGAAAAAAGAAAGAAAGAAAATGGGGTATTTTGCTAATAGCAGAAAATTATGGTCCTGTGAGGTGAATTGTATTCTTATTCCCTGGGGATACATGACTAATTGCTAGTGTGTATAGAAAAATCAGAAAGTCCCATTTTATAATCATGTCACACATTAGACACTTTTCTGTTTTGCTTGTTACAAGCACATTTGCAAAGCATGCCATGTTAAATACCCTGATCATTTTTCAGCTTGATTATTGAGGTATAAAGAGAGGGAGAATGAGCAAAATTTCAAAGTTCTGATCCTGGCTATGTCACGAGCAATCTTATACTGTGGGCTTCAATAACCACACCTGTAAAATGAGAAGACTGACTTACATGCAGTCAAAACCCTCAGGTTTACCGTACAATTCCTGTAAATCACCATGTGACAAACGTGAAATGCAAGGTAGAGCTATCATTACTAACAATGTCATTAGAATGAAGGGAGCAGCTGTTGTAACTTGGTTACTTTCAATAACAGAGATTCAAACTATGACTGGAAGCATATTATAACCTGTTTGCATGCTGAGTAAATACATGCACCTTCATTCACTTAGCACCTCTGTAGGTTTTCAGATTAGGAAATAAACCATGATACAAACTTAAACTTGACATTGCTCCACACCTCTCAATCAGGATTATCTTATATCAGGTTATCAAAAAAGACACACCATCCACTTTCTTGGTGACATCTCCAGTCTTTCCTTTATTTTCACTGTTAGTTGACACACTGTGCTTGTGGCTGCGTTCTCAAAACGGAATGAAGGAAAGTTCAGCAGCAGGCTGTGTAGCTCTGTTCTAAAGGCAAACAGCCTTTCAGGATATACCACTTTTCTTCTTCTGTGATATTGTATGGACCAGAGAAGTGTGAGTGGGTCCTCAAGGTGATGGCAGATCGTGTGATGACAGATCAGTTGCCCCAGAGACCACTGTTAGTGACTTTATATTCTTTGACAAGAAGGAGATAGTATAAATCAATATTTCTAACCATTTCAAAAGTTTCAAATTCTACCTTCAAAAAAATCCAAATCATATCCTTCACGCTACTCCAGGTCTTAATGACAAATTTTGCAGTTTGTCACGTGCTTTACTATTTGGTTTAGCTACTTAAGTGTTATTACTACTACTCCATCACAGTTACTATTATTTAAAAAAACAGTTTCTCTCTTAAGTGAGTAAGAATAACATCCCAAATCTGGATGTTATACAGACTTTCCCATAGGGGCACTGTTGACTGGGAGAAGGGGAAAAGAATATTTCACTGCAGTGTTTATTGGAGAGTTTTTCCAATAATATTAATTTCTTAAAAAAGGGCATCCCATCTTGTGCTGGGGAAATTGGAAGCCTGGCACCACAATCCCATAGGGATTGAAACAGCCATCCATAAATCTGCACAGTGTGTCTGATTCTGCCCCCATTGAGCAACTGTAATAGGAGTTCTATAGACACGGCAGGGGCTGAATCAAGACTACTACCGAGTGAAAGAAGGCTGCTGTCAGCACTGTATATGCATTAAAAGACAGTAGACAGCTGCGCATGCATCCTGGGGTTGTACAGTTTCCAAATGTGCTAAGTCCTAGATTCTAAAACGATTTGTGTTTATTTACCAATACCTTGCTATGCTATTTATTAAGTTTGTCGCTAAACCCTGTTTTGCATACACTGGTACTTGCTCATGCATGCCTTATGAATATAGAAATTAGCATCTCATTAACTTGATAATTAGGCCAATGATAAACAGCTGTTTGGTTGCCGTGTAGGGCAAGATTTCTACCGAAGTTATTTATCTGCCATACACAATAGTGGTGCAATTATTTGTCACACTATCAATTATAGACAAACAACAATAGGAAATAAACTTTTCTTTCACACATTTGCTTTCATTGTAATTAAGATCCAAATTCATGCTCTGCTTTTGGAAAAACAATAATGCAGTGTTGTCTAACAATCTTGATAATGTAAATTTTCAGCTTGGCTTTTATATTTCACACACAGTTCAAACATCTCACATTGTGCATTCTGCTATAAATGACTATTTCCAAGATGTCTTTTTTATTTTTTTAAAGCTCTCCTGTTTCCATTTTATGATGTTGAGAACACTGATCATTGAGAATTTCTCAAGTTGTCTGGTTTTGCTCTAGTTTCTGTCTCCCTCCCCCTCCAAGATTAAAATCTATACTTTGACCTTCTCTTGCTTATAATAGGATTTGTGCTGAGAGAAATCATCTGAGAGACGTCTGGAGTGCAATGAAAGCAATGACAATGTTTTCTCGATTGTTTATGCATAGCTCAATCCACATTATTTCTGGAAGAAAAGAAAAAAGAAAAAAAAAAGAATAAAGAAAAAGAAAACAATGCATTTCCCTTCAATCCACATGGATTTAAAACTAGAGATGTAATTTAAAAAAACAGAAGCAAAAAACAAAAAACAAAACCAGAAACTGGTCTTTCCAACTAATAAAAAAGGAACTCAGTGCTGTGCTCACAGCAAAGTCGTGGAAGATAATTTGAAACTTCAGTTAGCTTCCTGTAGAGAAAAATAACAACCACCAAACTAATGGGTAATCAATGGCCAATTGCCTCAGAAAAGAGGCGCCCCACAGAATTCCCTAGAAATTAATGTGCTGCATAGGAGGCATTGGAAAATATCTTAAGACTATTCTAGTGAGCCCACCTTTCTTAACAAATAAGTAAGGTCTAGGGTGCTATCTTTGCTAATAAAGACCTGGAGACGAAATGCGGTCTTCATTTAAGTTTCCATGTGCTGTTCTCTGAACCACTATATTAAAAACAATCTTCCCCCATGATTTCTAGTGCTGTAGTGGAGTATAGTTTATGTGAAAGTAAATCTGGAAAGATTACCTTTCAAAACTGCCAGATGCTTCGCATTTTCTGGTAGAAATCTGGATTCTAGGTCTGTAATGATATTTCCTGCTGTGCTCAACACTCAATCAGAACGTATGCTTCTTGGAGGGCAATATAAGGATTCCAAGGCTAACTTGGTCGTTTGGCTTTTATATTTTTCCAATCCAGCTGGGGGGTATAAATTTAAATTTTGGGCCTCCCAAGCTAAACTTCAGAAGGGGTCTTTGTTAATTTTAGATCTCCTGCAGTTGAAACCCCTCCTTGCATAAACTTTCCCATGCAGTGCAGTTTATGATTATATTTATACCAATGAATAAAACATACCTTAAAAAAAAAAAAAGAAAACTAAATTACGGCATTAATGATACAGGAATGTATGGATTCTCATGGCCCTTGGCTCTCCCATGTTTAGATTCAAGTTCCTTCCTCTACCTAGTTTGAATTACATTAGTGTCCCCTTCCCTCTCTTCCTTCATCCATCTTATACATTCTTTAATAGGGTATCATGGTTCTAAGCACATACTCTGAAGTGTATAAGACCATGGTTAGAATTTTGGCTCTTTCATTTTAAATCTGTTGGACTTTGGGGATGATTAACCTAATTTCTCTGATCAGTGGTGTGCTCGTCTGCAAAATGGGGCTAATAATAGCATCTACTTCTTAGCGTTATGGTGAGAATTAAGAGAAATAATATAGAGAGAGCATTTAGCACAGTGCTGCACAGAGCACACATATCAGTTAATGTTAGCTGCTTTCCCTAACCAGGGGACAGCCTTACAGAGATGCAACATTGCGGGGGTGGGGGGTACTCTTGCACCTGCTTGCCTTGGTTCAAATCCCTGCTTCAGTGCACTCTACATGTGCCACCTTACACAGCTATCAACATCTTTGTGTCTCAGTTCCCTCATTTCAAAAATGAGAATGATAGTAGTACCTACCTCATGAAGCTATTGTGAAGATTAAGTGGATTAATGATTGGTCAATAGTGAGTTCTATATATGTTCATTAAATAAACCTGTTAAATATTTGGTCCAACTCAGTTTGGTCCAGACTCTTCCCCACCCTACTGCTATTCATCCATTCCTCGCAGTGCTTCTCTTAAAACTCTGAGCATTTACCTAAACAGGCTCTTTCTGTGCAGGACACCATACAGTAGTGTCACCTGAGTCAGAGGTGACTGGTGAGGCAAGCAGGTCATTGAAGGCAAGCAAGCTAGCCTGGAGGTTATGCAGTCATGCACTGTAGGCTGATAAGAGCTGCTTAGCTCTGGGGATTCTTACTTTGTAACACCATTTTTTTCATCCAAGGACCTTCATTGTTTTCCGGGCTCTCATCCTATAAAGTACTGCACATAGAAGGTCTAGATCCCTTACTACTGAGATGCTTCTTGTGGTACTTCCAGCCTAGACACACTGGGCCTCAGAAACCTTGCTGAGGTTTATAAAGGCAAGTCTGGAGCATTGTACTTCTCTGCCATTTCCCTGCTTGTAAATTGCACCTCATATACCTTTGTATATATTTGTATCATATTAGTATCTCTGTCATCTTTGAATGACGGTTGTATCATGATTTGTCTAAATATATGTGTATTATTTTCCTAGTTAGCCAGAGAATTCCTCAGGAATACCTGACATGATGCATGACCTCAAAGCCTGGCACTATCCTTAGACTGTCACAGGTACTCAGTATACTTTTGTGTTTGGATAATCCTGATAAAACCAGTGAGAGTTAAATTTGGTTATAAGTATCAGAAAAAAAAAATGACCATGGTTTAACTAAGATAATATATTTCCCTCTTACCCTCAAAAAAGATGTAGCCTAAGGTCGGTGTGATGGCCCAGAGTGCCATATTGTTCCTTCTGTGTCATTCCTTTGACTTCAGATCATGGCTCTAGCTCCTGAGATCATCTCATGGTCCAAGAAACTGTTGAAACCCCAGCCATTGTTTTCCCATCACAGAAAACAGAAAGGTAAAAGGGGAGAATACCTCACTTGAGGAGAACTTGCTGGTAGTTGAACACTAGGCACATTTGTCAGCATTCCATTGGCTAATGGACCACGCATAGCTGCAAGGAAGATGGAGATGAGGAAGTATGGTCTTTGTCCTCGGTGGTGATGAGTCCTGCTAAAAGTCACAATTTGATGACTAAAGAAGAATGGGAGAGTAGACACTGGGGATGACCCTCCTGCTCTGCCCTAGCTGCCATGGCTTTTTAGTTCCTGGTTCCAGATCCTTCCCATTTCCCGATCGTTTTGCTTTCTGTTCACAAAAAGAAATCACTTTGATTTCTGTGATTAAATGTAACCAAAGAAGTCTAAGCAGTAAGCAACATATCCACGTAACCATGGACAATTTACCTTATGTTTATTGATTTTTCAGAATTGGCAACATATTACCTAGCCCTTTGCCTATGTTTGCTATGCAGAGTTGTAAAAAGTGGAAAAAAATAGTAATACCCAATGCTATATACTAGGGACCCGGAGATACCTATTTTAATCCTTACACCAATCCTATGGAGCAGATTTCATTACTTACATATAAAGATAAAGAAACTGAGGAGGTTAAAGTATGCCTCAGCCATACTGTTGCTGATGAGCATAACTGGGATTGGAGTCCAGGGCATTCCAATGCCTGCATCCACTGTGTAACCTCTTTGCAATGCTTAATAAAAGTTAACTGTTGAACTGTGCCATAAATCTTGTAGACGTAGTTCTGCGTCCTACACATTTTAATTATCTGATATGTGATTATTTTTCTTGATGACAATTTTACGTATTTGCACAGCACAGCAACATATGGAAATCTGACATGATAACATATACCTTTTAGGAATGAAGGCTTAATAAATCATCTCAAATTTCTCACAGTTTTGTTGCTCTTACCATTAGAACGTTCTTTATTCAAAGTTTGTGTCTTCTAGATCATAGAGTGAATTAAAGGCATCCTTTCCCTCTTGATTTTCCTGCTATACTCTAGCATGGTGAGAATGAGCTAGAACAGATCATTTAAGCTCTCAGAGCTATGCTTAGAAGGACCAGAGCACATGGAACATAATAATTAATTGCCATAGTTGCTTACTCAGCATTTTGTGAGATGCAAATTATCTTCAAAACTGTTCTCTATATCACCCTTTGGTGTGACCATGTTAAAAATGAAAAATTAAAATAGTGTTCCAGAGGAGTGGGGGGAAGGCTTGAGTTTCAAAATAAAGGGATATGGAGGGGCATCTGGGTGGCTCAGTTGGTTAAGCATCCGACTTTGGCTCAGGTCATGATATCGCGCTTCATGGGTCCAAGCCCCATGTCGGGCTCTGTGCTGACAGCTCTGAGCTTGGAGCCTGCTTCAGATTCTGTGTCTCCCTCTCTCTCTCTCTCTCTCTGCCCCTCCCTTGCTCACACACGCTCGCTCTCTTTCTCTCTCTCTCAAAAATAAATAAACATTAAAAAAAGGGTTATAGAATGCTCCTATCTATATTAATCTCTCTTTCATAGCAATGAAAAATGAAATGCAGAAGACAACTACTGGGGCAAATGCTCACCTCAGTCTCTATCCTTTCAGAACTGCTTGTCACATGTCAACCCCATCCTTGAGATCTGATAACAGTGTTTGCCACGTATGACCCCACAGCCCTGGCCATAGGTAACTGGACAGGTGGGGAAGTTCTCCTGCCTAAAACTAGAGCAATCAGATTACCTCTGCCTCAGGAGTTTGTAATAAGGGCTGAGAGGCAGTCAGTCATTTTAGGTTTAGAAATGACTTTTTCTTTCCACTATGCAAAGAGATGGAGAAAGCTGAACTGTAGAGAGTCAAAAGTGAAGCACATGTGTTAAGAAGACCAAAGATATAAGATGGAGAGGTTGAGTGCCCTGCATTCCCTAAGGCTTTTTGCCTCCTGGTTCCCTCATCTCTTTCCCTTTTGCTTGCTTTGGCTTGATTTGATTTCTGTTATTAAATGTAACCCGAAGAACCTTAACTAATTCAGGCGGGAAACAATGTTAAGAAAGGCAGAGCGGGAGAAGTACTTCTAAAATAGGTTGCTACTGCACAGAAATGAGGCAGGAAAACCAAGACCCCCAGAGATCTAAGGCAGCCTTGTTGATCATACCCCCCCGCTTGTCCCCATTCAGAGTGGAGACCAGTTTTCTCACTTGTCAGGCTACTCATGACAGTATCTAATCACGAAAATCTCTTCCAGAAAGGCGTTCCAGGAACTTTGCCCTGAAAAATATTTGAAACTGAACTGTACAAGCTTATAAACAGACTCCTAGTATTCGCAGTGTAATGGAAACAACAGGACTCCCCATGCATATCTTCAGGCAGGGAAATCTCCTAGAAGCTATGAAGCCTGAAACCAAAGATTCTTTGGAATATATTGCATGAAGATGATCTTTTTCTTGGCACTCTTCCACAAGCCTTCAATCACTCTGTGAACTAAATTTCTTTCCATATGTTTTTCATTCATTTACATTTAAGATAAAAATTATTGGCTCTGAGAGCCATTTGATGAGTGGTGATTCAGTGATTCTTTCATTGTGATCTCAGTTCAGTGATGATGCCTATCGTCCACAAGATGTTCCAAAAAGGTGGAATCATTACTGATGCGACTGAAGTCATCACTTGGTAATAATAGACTTGCATAGTTTCTTTTAATCCCCAGCAAAGAAGTCTGAA